TTTTAAGCGACAGACCATTTATTTAACTTCTCCAATTTTCGAATAAGATGTTGCTCAAAATTGTGGATATACTGTCCAAAGTTCATATGGATATATTTTTGCTTACATGTGAATTTTACACACACACACACACACACACACACACACACACACACACACACACACACACACACACACACACACACACAGAGAAACTATATATATATATATATATATACACATAGTTTCTGTGTGTGTGTATGTGTGTGTAAAATTCACATGTAAACAAAAATATATCTGAAAGAAGACAATATGAAATTTGTCCTCTGATGGACTTTATCAAGGCAAATGTAAGCGATCTAAAATCCAGAAACCATAACTGCTATCACCAAGGTGCTTGGAAGCACTGATCGATCAACACGTACTAGTCAGTATTCGCAAGTTCAAATTTACATAGATACAATATTGTATCATGTTCAGCTATAGCTGAAGCTTTGATTAAAATCCAGTATTGTATCCACTCTTCATGCCTAAACATATTCCCAGAGTAGAACTAATTTTGATTATCACTGATAGTGTTGGAATCAGTATACATTAAGTCCTACCAGCCATCTCTCTGTAAGCAAAGGGGTGATTCTTGAGCTTAAGGTCAATTGGCCTTTAATGTTATACTTTCTTGCATATAAAATTTGTCTGCGCTTGTACATTTTTTGTAGTCGTTGTGCATATTTTTGTCCTCATTTTTCTTTCAGATGAGAGAGGACCCATAAACAGGTTGAGCTAATTTATAATTATTGTTATATTTCGGTGCTGTCATAGTATGATAACATAATTTTTTTTTCTTTTTTGTTACGAATTCCGTTCATATTGTGTTATTTTGTTCAATTTTATTTAAACTTTGCCGAGAATCTAATCAAATTAGATTTAACAAAACAATACCAAAATATGAACTTTGGACAGTATATCCACAATTTTGAGCAACATCTTATTCGAAAATTGGAAAAGTCAAATATATGGTCTGTCGGTTTGTTTGAATGGATACTTGATGCCTAAATCCACTTTATATATATATATATATATATATATATATATATATATATATATATATATATATATAAAATATATATATATATATATATATATATATATATATATATATATATATATATTTATTTTATTGAAAGTATATGTACGAAATAAAGATTTAAAGCAATTCTAAAGCATTTTCATTAATTATTAGCACACTGCATGTGTTTATCGAATAATAGAACTCCATTATGTTGTTGATAGGGCTTCCACAATGCTTCGATCAATCCATTCTATTGTGCTCTTTTTTGCAGAATAGAATCTAGAATTTATCTGAATTTCTAGCAGTTCTAGAATACGAGAGACGGGTGAGAAAATCTGGAGATTATAATGGGTGTTTACAGGGCAAACAAATCAAATCTGAAAGAAGAACTCTTCGAAAATGTAATTGTGTAATTTTAATATATTTAGAGAATGCGATTAGCTATACTTAGCCATTCCAAGCTAGTTCTGACATTGGATGACGTGCTTCGTGGATGTCCTAGATAATCACAAACAAGACCCTTAACAGAATTAAATAATATGTGCCCACAAATATCAATGACCTTTGCATTTTATTTTGACTGAAACTCCACACTATACATCTCAACCTGTGTACTTAACTTCACCAACTATCTCGAGGCACATGCATTGTGATTCTCACCAACTTGAGAAGTTTTCAGACTCGTCAAAAACATGAAGGCTACTAGTACGGATAAAATCTTTGTTGTACTTAAGAACATTAACCCTGAGTTATCTACAATCTCGTTTAACCGCTGCCTTGAAGTGAAAGCTGTTTTCTCTGGTTAGTTAGTGTTCATCCCCATCGCAATATTGCTCCATCAGGCTCCTTAGAGTCTGTTAACGGCAATGAGGTAGTTGATCACCTCAGCAGGTACTCAACGCAACGTACTGAGCGACGAAAAGTATGCCCATGTCCACTGCTGATGTTTGAACTGTCATTATCCAGATAATTTATGAAGCGCTGGATGGCAGTTTCGCCACGAGAACAATTGCCATATAAAGGCTTTTATAAAGAGTGTGGCATTGGAGGCTAAGGCACAAACTATCCAGCTATGGTATCTCTAGAAGAGTTTACGCAATCATTAACTCATTTCTCTCAATTAGGTCCATTAAAGTCGTTATGAATGCTTTCTGCTTTTCTTAACGATCTGCATAGGAACAAACTCAGAACGTTACTAAATATCTATGCAGGTATTATTCTAGTTTATGGATGCACTTCCAAAACTGGAGATGATCGAAACCTTGCAGTTGATCTTAACTCTGACCCTTGCTTTAACAGCTCAATGTGGAAAAATTCTTTCAATACCTGAAAAACTAATCATTTCATTACCACCGATCACAACCTGACATTTCTTCGGGCATGATGAATGGTTGCATTCTCAATGGAGTCTTTTCAAAGTCTATGATGTTCATTCAAAGCCTCAAATGGAAC